TTGGTTGGTATGTTGGGACCAGTGTGCTTGATCAGTTTTCTAATGGGGAAACAGCTTTTGGAGGTTACTAATGTGTTGGTCTTTGAGTGGGATTATTCTGAGCACCAAGATCCTGCTCGAGAGGGATGTGCGACCACCATTCTGAGGGTTCTGGTTTGACATTTGCAAGGTTTTCTCTGGGCCCTTCGTTTGTAAGAGACCCTGGTGTGTCTGGGCTTGGTGGCTCACCCCTGTAATCTCAGCATTTTGGGAGGCCGAGGTCAAGAGATCGAGACCATCCTGGCCAACATGGTGAAACCCCGTGTCTGCTAAAAAATGTAAAAATTTGCTGAGCATGGTGGCACGCATCTGTAGTCCCAGTTAACTACTCGGGAGGCTGAGGCAGGAGAACTGCTTGAACCCAGGAGGCAGAGGTTACAGTGAGCCGAGATTGCACCACTGCATTACAGCCTGGTGCCTGGTGACAGAGCAAGACTGTGTCTTCCCCCCAAAAAAAAAAAAAAAAAAAGTGAGAGACCCTGGTGTTCTTTTGTCAGGGAAGAGGGAGGAGGTTAACCCTGAAAGGAAAGGAAAAAAGTCCAGGGTGGTTTATAGGCAGAATTCTGAGTATGTCTACTTGGGAGAAGTTTTTAGTAGAGAGGGCAACAGTGTGAGGAAGGTGGGAGCAGCCCTCTTTTTCCAGAGGTTGTTACCCTTACCCTAACATCGTTGTCACCTTCAGAAACTAGAAGAAAGGGATGTATTTCTCAGCAATGTTGGGGCAGAGGATTCTTGGAGCAAGGAGTTGGGCCTGCAGGCCTGTGTTCTTCCTTGGCCACACCCTCTACATCTTCCCAGTAGATGGCCCAGTGTCACAGAACAGGCAGGAAATGTGTCCCAAGCTCAGTCTGCTTCCTGAGTTGGGGGTGGTGAAGGGCAAGGTCCATCTTTATCATTCTCACTTCCCAGGGCCAGCCAAGTCTCGGGATGGTGAACGTACCGTCTATTGCAACGTACACAAGCATGAACCCCTTGTGCTGTTTTGTGAGAGTTGTGATACTCTCACTTGCCGAGACTGCCAGCTGAATGCCCACAAGGACCACCAGTGAGTCCCAAGGCATAGAGGGTGGGTGGGTGCCACCCATTCCCTAGTTCAGTGTTCAGGAACACATCTGTCTGCTCTCAGATACCAGTTCTTAGAGGATGCAGTGAGGAACCAGCGTAAGCTCCTGGCCTCACTGGTGAAGCGCCTTGGGGACAAACATGCCACATTGCAGAAGAGCACCAAGGAGGTTCGCAGCTCGTAAGTGTCAGTTCTGGGGCTGTGGGAATGGCCCAGAGCAGCAAGACTTTTCCTGGCCTGACCTGCTCTGTTCCCTAGGATCCGCCAGGTGTCTGACGTACAGAAGCGTGTGCAAGTGGATGTCAAGATGGCCATCCTTCAGATCATGAAGGAGCTGAATAAGCGGGGCCGTGTGTTGGTCAACGATGCCCAGGTAAGCCTTGTGCCAGCGAGAGGGTCCCTCAGCCCCCTCTGCTGATGCATGATGCTGTCCAGGACGAGGAGCCTTCCTAGTGCTGTCTGCCTTCTCTGCTTACCTCTTACACCTTTCCGTCTGCAGAAAGTGACTGAGGGGCAGCAGGAGCGCCTGGAACGGCAGCACTGGACCATGACCAAGATCCAGAAGCACCAGGAGCACATCCTGCGCTTTGCCTCTTGGGCGCTGGAGAGCGACAACAACACGGCCCTCCTGCTGTCTAAGAAGTTGGTGCGTGCCGGGGGCTCCTGGCCGGCGGGTCCCAGTGCCGCGCGTCCCTGTTGGTGGTCGGTGTGCTCATTCTCCCCTGCCTGTCTTTCCCAACCAGATCTACTTCCAGCTGCACCGGGCCCTCAAGATGATTGTGGATCCTGTGGAGCCACACGGCGAGATGAAGTTTCAGTGGGACCTCAATGCCTGGACCAAGAGTGCTGAGGCCTTCGGTGGGTCCCAGCTCTACCTTGCTCTACCTTGTTAACGCCCCACGTGCTGCACCTACTTCTGTTTCTCTCTTTGTGCAGGCAAGATTGTGGCAGAGCGTCCTGGCACTAACTCGACAGGCCCTGCACCCATGGCCCCTCCAAGAGCCCCAGGGCCGCTGAGCAAGCAGGGCTCTGGCAGCAGCCAGGTGAACAGGAGAGAGGACCCAGGGAGGGCTGGGCAGGGAATGGGGTTCAGTAGGGTAGTAGGGTTCCTGTTCCACTGAGGCAGAGGGCTCTGCTTTGTTCACAGCCTATGGAGGTGCAGGAAGGCTATGGTTTTGGGTCAGGTGAGTGGGTCTGCCTGGTGGTTGGGGAAGGGCCTCAGTGCTGTTTGTACCCCAACCTGCCAGTCTTTCTCCATTTTTCTAAGCAGATGATCCCTACTCAAGTGCAGAGCCCCATGTATCAGGTGTGAAACGGTGAGCATGGCAGTTCCCCTGGGGTGGAGAATGGATGGGTGGAGGTAGATGGAGGGTGAAGTTGTGCTTATGCCAGGTTTCTGCACTTACAGGTCCCGCTCAGGTGAGGGCGAGGTGAGCGGCCTTATGCGCAAGGTCCCACGAGTGAGCCTTGAGCGCCTGGACCTCGACCTCACTGCCGACAGCCAGCCACCCGTCTTCAAGGTCTTCCCAGGCAGTACCACTGAGGACTACAACCTTATCGTTATTGAACGGGGCGCTGCTGCTGCAGCTGCCGGCCAGCCAGGGACTGTGCCTGCAGGAACCCCTGGTGCCCCACCCCTGGCTGGCATGGCCATTGTCAAGGTATGCCTGTCCCAAAGAACTGTACCTGTAGAATGAAGCCTGTAGTCCAGGTCTGGATGCTATTGAACACCTTATCACCATCTTGCAGGAGGAGGAGACGGAGGCTGCCATTGGAGCCCCTCCTGCTGCCGCTGAGGGCCCTGAGACCAAACCTGTGCTTATGGCTCTTGCCGAGGGTCCTGGTACTGAGGGTCCTCGCCTGGCCTCACCCAGTGGCAGCACCAGCTCAGGGCTGGAGGTGGTGGCTCCTGAAGGTACCTCAGCTCCAGGTGGTGGTCCGGGAACCCTGGATGACAGTGCCACCATTTGCCGTGTCTGCCAGAAGGCAGGTGATCTGGTCATATGCAACCAGTGTGAGTTTTGTTTCCACCTGGACTGCCACCTGCCTGCCCTGCAGGATGTTCCAGGGTAAGTGTGAGGCCGGCTGGGCTCTAGTCTGGTGTGTGCTCTCTGGACAGGATCATGTGCATACCCTTATCTTAACCCCAGGGAGGAGTGGAGCTGCTCACTCTGCCATGTGCTCCCTGACCTGAAGGAGGAGGATGGCAGCCTCAGCCTGGATGGTGCAGACAGCACTGGCGTGGTGGCCAAGCTCTCGCCAGTCAACCAGCGGGTGAGGGCTGGGGTTACTTAGGTGGGGTTGCCCCAGAAAGGCTTTATAGGTGCTGCCCAGAGCTGTGACATCCCTTATACTGTCTGTAGAAATGTGAGCGTGTCCTGCTGGCCCTGTTCTGTCATGAGCCCTGCCGCCCCCTGCATCAGCTGGCTACTGACTCCACCTTCTCCCTGGTGAGTCCTAGAAATGGAGAGGGGAAGCAGGTGGTGCCTGGCAGGTCTCACCCTCAACCTGTGCATGCATGTGTGATCTCTGCCTGCAGGACCAGCCTGGTGGCACCCTGGATCTGACCCTGATCCGTGCCCGTCTCCAGGAGAAGTTGTCACCTCCCTACAGCTCCCCACAGGAGTTTGCCCAGGATGTGGGCCGCATGTTCAAGCAATTCAACAAGTTAACTGAGGTGAGCCGGTGGAATGGAGGTGCTGTGGGCAGGGGGAGATGTGAAGGAGAGAACTAGGACCCACTCATCTAGTGCGTTCCTGCTTGGCCTAGGACAAGGCAGACGTGCAGTCCATCATCGGCCTGCAGCGCTTCTTCGAGACGCGCATGAACGAGGCCTTCGGCGACACCAAGTTCTCTGCTGTGCTGGTGGAGCCCCCTCCGATGAGCCTGCCTGGTGCTGGCCTGAGCTCCCAGGAGCTGTCTGGTGGCCCTGGTGATGGCCCCTGAGGCTACAGCCCCCATTGCCAGCCCAGCTTGGCTCTCTCCTCTGTCCTGTCACCCTATCCCCACTCCCCTGGTGGCCTGACTCCCACTCCTTGGTGGCCCCATCCCCCGGTTCCTCACGATATGGTTTTTACTTCTGTGGATTTAATAAAAACTTCACCAGTTCCTCAGGCCTTGGCTGGTTGGGGGGCTTTGGTCCTGGGGCCTGGTTTATTGACTGTATCTACTAATCAGCTTTATGAAGCACTGGTGGCCCTGGTGGGGGTGGTCTTGGCCCCAGCCTACCTGAACCCCCATCTGTATGGATGTCTAGGGAGTGGGGAAGAGTGTGCCTCCTGGCCCTTTCTGGCTGTGGGGAGGGTCACACACAGCAAAGGTTATACACACTAGAGGCTATGGGGTACTCTGGGATAACGGCTAGGTGTGGGCCGACCTGCAGCCCTGTGTAGACTTAGCCCCTGGTGTGGCACAGCCGCTCTACTGAGTGGTTGCTAAGCTTTGGTGCTATAGCCGTTTGTCGTCCTCGGATGGTACCATAGTGAACTGACACCTTCCAGATGTGGTTTTGTTCCTGTCCCTCTTTGCTAAGGCCACTTAACATCATGCATCCCTGATGTATGTAGTTGAGCCCTGCGAATCCCAAGGCTGCCCCCTTGCATCTTGGTTGGTTTGGACTGCCGTCATATCACTGGACCAAAATAGTTTTGGGCACTACAGCCTGGAAGATGGGAGGCCTGGACTCTAGAGATCCTCTCAGGCCGTTTGGGGTGTCCACTATCTTGGGAGAGGTGACAGCAGGACCCACAGCTCACCGTAAGCTCTGAACCCCTGAAAATCTCAGGCAGACTTTGCTTGTCCACCCCTGCCCCAAACCCCAACCCCTTAGCTTTATGCCAAATGCCTCTTGACCTGTCCTCCCAGGGACCCCAGCCAAAAGTCACATGGGCTTAGAGACTAGTGTCCAATCTCCTTTATTACAGAGGAGTTATGGTAAAAGATCCTGGGCATCCACTGGTCATCTTGGGAGTGGCAGGGGGAATTCAGTCTCTCCTCAGGTTCTTAAGCCGCTCCTCCAGGTCTGCATCAGCATCAGCTAGGGCTGAGGCTGTGGCCTCGGCTTTTTTCCCACCAGCAGCCACACTGAGGGAGCCCCCAGTTGAGGGAAGGTCTGCAGAGAAAGCGGGGGTTAGAGCAGGGGGATTCAGGCTGAGTGGGAAATGTGGTGGAGGGAAGTAATGCAGGGAGAGGGAGGGCTTGGGGCTGTGGCTGGGCACTGGGTGGGAAATGGGGCCCAGGAGTTGGAGAACTCACTTGACAGCTCATCTGTCAGGCTAAGTCCCAGCTCATCCAGGACCTGGGACACAACAGCATCACTAGGGAAGAGATGTAACTCAGTGAGGGCTAAGCAGTATTCCATGAGGGCCAGACAAACATCTTTACCCTCCCAGTTTTTCTCCGTACCTCTCCTCTTCGTCTTCCTCATCACCCATGGCATCATCAATGGCATCATTCATCATCTCCTCTTTCATATCCATGATCTCTGCCTGCCGCTCAAACTCCATCATGATCTTCTGGATCTGGGGCAATTTCAGCTGGAAGTGGGAGGAGTGTGAGTGTGGTCCCTAGGGGTCAGTGGGAGTGGGAAGGGGGACTGGGAAAAGCGCACCTGTCTGTTCATGGTGCCCATGGCCTTGGTGACACCCTTCATGGCTTGTGCCATTGAGTTGTTAGACTTGAGTGTCTGGATCTTGAGGGACACAGCCTGGATGTTGGCCCGCATCAATACGAACTTGCGCACATAGCGCCGGGTGCGCACCAAGTCTTTCGCCATGATGCGAACAGCATCCTGCAGAGCAGACGAGGGTATCAAGGACACAGGAATGGGATTATACTATACTTCTTGACACCCCATTATTTGGTGGTTGCTCCTCACCATTTGCAATTCCACCATTCTCACTGAAGTCTCCAGACTGTGGCTAACCCAATGGTTCCTGGTCCCTTCCTCCTGACCTAACTGCCTCTTGGGTCACCAACTCCCTGGGCTCCTTTGTTAAGGTCCTCCTCACTTCTCTTGATCTGTAAAGGGTAAAAGAAAGGCCCCAGGCTCACTCCTTAGGGGTCCTTTTGCCTCCATGTTTTAAGTCATTCCTCTGACTTAAAACAGCCATTCCTCAATTTTTATTCCCAGCCTAGACAAAGAATCTGTTGCTTCCTCCACCTAATACAAACCCGTACCTCAAACTATCCAGAACCACATACAAGCCACTCTGAGGCTCAGCTTTTGATTTCCTCTTCAAACATATTGCTTGCCCATCCCAGTAAATGGTATTTTCTCTGCCTGTTCAGGCCAAACTCCTCACCCATCAAAGACTCTTCTTTCTTCATGCTCTCCCTACTGGTTCTGGCTATCTTACCAGCCTCTTGGCTATAGCTTATCCTTTTTTTTCTTTTTTCTTTTTCCCTGAGATGGAGTCTTGCTCTGTTGCCTAGGCTGGAGTGCAGTGGCACAATGTTGGCTCACTGCGACCTCTGCCTCCCGGGTTCAAGCGATTCTCCTGCCTCAGCGTCTTGAGTAGCTGGTTTTATGGGTATGCACTACTACGCCTGGCTAATTTTTGGTAGAGCAAGGTATCACCATGTTGGCCAGGCTGTTCTCGAATTTCTGAAGTCAGGTGATCAGCCCGCTTCAGCCTCCCAAAGTGCTCAGATTACAGGTGTGAGCCACCTCACCCACAACCTTAATCCCTAAGCTTTCAACTCAGCTCACACTGTGGCCCACAATTCTGAATTGTCTGGCCCATGCCCAACTCTGAAGCTCACCTGTCATCTCCCATTTTGCCGAGGCCGTCTTTTTACATTTGCTCTGTCTGCTTGACACATTCCTTTCCCAGATCTGTAGGCTCACTCTCATCACTGAAGCCTTAGTTCTTACACCAATTCCTTGTAGGCAGCCTTCCAGACCTCCAAACTAGGGTAGCCCTGCTGACCTTACACTGCACTCGTTTTGCTGAAAGCACCTGTGTTTGGGTGTCTGGTCTGTTTTGTTCACTGCCGTTACAGCCGTGCCTGACTGACAGCAACTTGCCCCTGACCATCCACACTCACCATCTGGCCTTGCTTGGCCATCTTCTTAATGTCTGCAATGATTTTCTTCTCCTGGGTCTCCAGCTTCTGTCGCTCGCGGTCCAGCTCCCGCATGGCACGGTTCAGGGCCCTCTGGTTCTGCCGCAGTAACTCCTCTGGTGTCTTCCGGCGCCCGAACAACAGGTCCATGGTGGCAGGAGCCCACTGGCAGGCCTGAGACACATGTGAGGCCCAGTTGTAGGGAAAGGGGCCCGGAAGGAGGGCAAATAGCAGAAGAGGGTCACGGGAACTTTGCCAAATGGGAAGGGGCTAATGGAGACTGGGGGCACGAATAAGGGGCCAAAAGGGAGCAGTTGAGAACGCTGGGACTGTCCCGGGGACACAAAGGCGGACAGGTAGAGCTGAAAATTATCCATCATGTGCTGACCCAAGACCCTCCTTCATTGCCATGCTCCCACAGAAGTTAAGGCTTGCAAGTTCAGCTTCCCTCTCTAGCCCCATGGGTGAGGCCCTGGAGTCCTTGACAGACTGAGAGCGGAGGGCGACGCCACTCGGCGCACTGGTGTTTTTGGGACCCTGAGCACCGAGGACAGGGCAATTGTGGGAGTACCCTAAGTACCAACAGGTGAATGTGGGGCTGTGAAGCTATGGACAAGGCATTAGGACGTGAATGACCCTGAATGTTGAGGGAGACGGTTGGGGGCGCTGGGGCACCCAGCACACCGAGGGTGGGATGATGGAGGCTGGGTCGCAGTATACACCGAGGACGGAGAGTCAGTGGGCCCGGCACCGAGGCAAGGCGGTGTTAGAGACCTCGATGAAGACGGGTCCCAGGGAGAAGGGAGGCACCAGACACCCGGGCGAGTAGAAGGCCTCGCTCGCTGCCGCCCGCACGCCCGCCCGCCCGCCCGGGATTCACGGTCCAGCAGGGGCCACTCACCGGAGTTGGGACGGGGACCCGCTTCCGCTTCCGGGTCACGCTTCTTTCTCTCGGAGCCGCCGCTTACCCCTGAACTAAGGCCCCTCTGTTCTGTCGCCTCCGCCGCCGTTTCCGGATTAAACGACGTGACGTAACACGCCTCGCCCGCACCCGGAAGGCTGGGAGGCTTCCAGAGCGCGCGTGCGCACTCGCCCTGGACAGGGCCGGTGTCCGAGCGCATGCGCAGCAGCTCCCGTTTCCTCCGCGCCTCGGAAGGTGTGTCACGTTCGACTCCCGCCCGAGCGACCCGAGCCTGTACCAGCTTGGGCGCTCAGGCGAAGGTGGTGCACCTTTGGGCGATTGCCACACAATCTCCACCTGAGGAGCCAGCTTATCCGTAAGACCCTGACTTCTGCCTGAGGTTTCAGATAGAAGGAGGCTTTTCCTCCTCGGCGGGCCCAACCATACAAGAAAGGGGCAAAGCTAGAGATGGCTTGTCCCTTCCACTGTGCTGGCCTCTTGGCCAGGAAGCCGCTTCTCACCCTACAGTGGGCTTCATCCCAGCCAACCCGAGGCTCACGCCTGGTATCCCCACCAACTCCAGAGCTGCCCCAGGCACTGAGAAGTCTGTTGTAGGGTGCTCCAGTGCTACCTGTTACCACACGTTCCACCACCCCAGCTTTGCAGGCCCCAGTGGACCCCAGCTGCCCCTCCCACCCCATAGAAGTAAGAAGCAGAGGCCATGCAGTAACATTCCCCTTTAATAGCCTGGTGGGACCTCCAGAGGTGGAGGGGTGGGTTGCCTGGGCCCAGCTCTCCAGGCCCCTTGCCCACCCACTCCACAGCCCAGAGTGGGGGCTGAACAAACACCCAGCAGGGGGGCTAGACAAGCCAATTCATTTCCCATTGCTGAGTGGGTCGGGGGAGGCAGCGCCGACCTTAATCACATGGTGGTTAAAAAAAAAAAACTAGGGGCAGGTAGCAGGAAGGGGGGAGGCAAGGCCAAGGCAGGGAATTCCCCCACCGGCTGCCCCCCAACCCCCTGCCGATGGCCCCCAATAAATATTTGCAGGGGACGCCAGGGCTTGTGGCCGTGGCGGGGGTGGGTATGCGCCAACCCTATTTCAGGCAGCGCTCGAAGTAGGTGGAGCCGATGTAGCCACCTCGCATGGAACGCTGCACGTTCTGCTCAAACAGCCGCCGGTTGTTCTGCAGGACCTCTGCGGCCTCCTTGTTCAGTGGGTCCTCGGGGTTGGGCTCCTGTGGCCAGTACAGGTGGGGTCAACAGGCCAGGGAGGCAGAAGACCAATCTCCCCAGACCCAACCACCTATTCCTACTCACCAAGAAGAGATACTGCAGGCCATAAATTATGGAGTTTATCGTAAGGACTGGCTTCCAGTCCTCTCTGTGGACAGAGAGCATCGTGAGTGGGAGGCTGCCATAGGCCCCTCTGGTATTGGTCAGGTCAGATCCAGGGCATAGGAGAGTGAGGATGTGAGAGACTGGGAGGGAGGGTGTGGAGCAGGCCAGGCCAGGGAGAAAACCAAGGTCCGTCCATGAGGAAGATGACTGGGAAATGAGGAAACCACAGACAACAAAGGGGTGGGAAGGCACAGAGACAGATGTAGTGCCCAGAAGACGATGAGGGGGTCTGACAGGCAGGGCTGTGGAAGGCAGTGGAGGGCCAGTGCCCTCACCTGAGGATGTTGAGGCAGACGTTGCCTTCGAGGTCAATGTTGGGATGATAGACCATTGTCTCACACTTCACCTTGGGGGGATCATGCGGGTAACCCTGGCCCACCTGGCTCCAGGAAAAGAAAGGGGAGATGGATTGGTGCCTGGAAGAGCCTCAGCTGCTGCCTCCTCAGTCCAGGGAACCATCCCTGCCCACCTGGGACTCACCTTAAAACTGAACACAAACTTCCCACTCTTGTAGAAGCCCTAGGAGGGAAAGGGGGAGAAGAAGATTTTAGGGTTCCATCCTGTGGGGCCTGACAGGACACGTCTCCCTCCTCTCAGTGGGGACACTCCTGATCTGCTCCTGGAAATCCGGCCATATGCACCCTCACCTCATCAGGACAGATGACCAGCTTGAAGTTGAGGAGGTCGTCTGGATCTGAGAAGCTGATATCACACGTCTTGGGCAGGTTCAGCTCGTTTATGTCTGGGTTTGGGTAGCAGAGAATGGGGAAAGAAAGAGGGAGGGGAAAAAGAGAGAGAGGGGGACAGCAGGATACTTATGGCAGGTGTTGTTAGCAGAGCCCCCATGGCCTCCTCCTGGACCCCCAAGCCTCTGTCCTGGGCTGTGCTCCACACCTCCAGCCCTCTCCCTTCTCCCGTTTGGCTCTTGTGGATACACAGCATACCCCAAACATGCATGTTCAGTTGTGTCTGCGTGTCCCAACTCCTGGCCCAGGGTAAACACCCAATTTTCTGCATCCATAGCTCCCAAATGCTCCCACTCCAAACATCCTCTGACCACCCTGAATCCCAGGCTCCCCATCCAAGATGTTCCTACCTGTCCACCCAAAGTCAAGGAGCCTGCCTACTCTCACCAACCCTCAGTCCTCACTGTCCTTCCTCTTCTCTCTCAGACCCAGCTTCCCATCTGACCCCCACACTCTCCCGTCCCCAAACCCTCATCACCCTTGCCCACTCCCTCTGACTCCGAGGTTCACAGCACAATAGGCTAAATTTCTCCTCACCCCTGTCTCCAATCCCTGGTAGTCACTAACCTTCTCTCCTCCACCTGTCACCCCGTACCCCAAATTGCTGTGACTCTGAGGCCCATGAGTCTCGGGTCCTCCAACCTACTCCACCCGTCTGACTCTTGAGATTCCCAGAGACCCCAACAGAATACACTAAATCCTCTCCCACTCATATCCCCAACCCCTGACTTCTACTATCCCTCTCTTCTCCTCCTGTCATCCCAAACCCAAGTTCCCGTCTAGCCCCCAGACTCTGGAGTCCCCAGCTCCTCCACTCCGCTGCCTGACTCTGAGATTCCGAGTCCCTCATACCATCACCAGGCCTTCCTAACATCCTAAACCACCACATACCGGGCCCCCATCTCTGACCCCCTCCCCGTGACCGCGTGACCCCAACCCTCAAGACCTGACCTCCGACCCGCTACACCAGGGGCCCTCCACCTCTGACCCTCGGCGACCGCACGATCCCTCCCGATCACCCAGCCTCAGGCCCTGACCTCCGACCTCTGGCCCCAGCCCCATCCCCTGACCCCCTACCCTTCTGGATCCGCAGCTGCGCCGCCGACGCCTTCTTGCTGCTGCCCTTGGTGCCGCCTGCCGACTCCTCCTCCTTCTTCTGCTGCTTCAGCGAGAACAGCTTGATCATCCTGCCGCCGCCGCCGCCGCCGCCGCCGCCGCCGCGGGGCCCGGGACCCCGGCCACCCGGCCCCCCGCCGCCGCCCGCGTCGCCTCTGCTCCTCGGACCCGCCGCTGCGGCCTCCGCGGCTCTCGCCACCCGCCCGGCCTGCCGCGCCGCTCGGCTCCGCTCCGCGCCCACCGCGCGGCCCGCCTCGGCTCCCGTAGTCCGGCTCCGGCCTGGCCTGGAGTCTCGGGCTCGAACGGCAGCGCTCGGCCAAACTCGGCTGTTCTCGGGCCCGCCCGGCCCCGCCCCTATCGCCCCCGGCTGCGCCTTGCTTGCCCTCGCCCGCTCTGGTCTCAGGCCCCGCTGCAGCTGCGGACTCGGGTTTCCCGGGACCGCGCAGTTCGGCCGCTCAGCTGATCCGTCCGCGAGGGGGCTGCGGCTCGGGGTGGGAGGAGGACGCGGCAGCCGCGGTGAGCGGGGCTGAGCACTGGAGGATCGGCTTCCGCGGCAGCAGCGGCTTTAGCGCGGAGGTCGGCGACGGCCTCGGGCGCCCCGCCGCTTCGGATATTTCCGCCGCCTGTCCGCTCTGGCTCTTCCCTCCCGGCCTGCGTTGTGCGCCTGCGCAGCCGCCGCAAACTCGAGTTGCTCAGCGATGGAGTTTGGGGTTCGGCCTCCTTCGGCTGGACTCGGGTATTTCCGTTCTTGGAGATGACGCTTCGGCTGCCCGGCGGGTCACTTCCGGCGACTCTAGCGAGGTCGGGCAGGAAGTGGGGTTGGCCGCCATCTTTGAGTGGGGCAGACGTGGGGTGTTTTGCTAGCGGTCACTTCATCCTGTGTTGTGGTTGTGCAGAGCGCGGCTCGGGTGGGTCAGAGCCTTTGACCCCATAGGTCACAGACAAAGGCAGGGTGGTCGCAGCGAGACCCTGAGTGAGACTAGAGGCGTTTCCCAGAGGGTGCGAGGTCGAGCACCTTGATTGTCCCATCGCAAACCCAAAGATCCCTGTTGCTGGAGGTTCTGATTGAGGTAAACTAACAAAACGTGTCTTGTACCAGATGGTGGTAAGCACTCTGGAGGGTTAAGGCGGTGTAGAGGAAGCCCTGCCGGGGTGGACACTTGGGGAACGCGATGTGGGGGCGGAGCCGGGCCGCTCTGGGAGTGGGCCCCCACTTCCAGCGGAGACGCACTGCGGCCTCGCCGCTTCCCCCACTATCTGAAAAAGGGGATCGAGGCGGGGAGTCACCTTCCCATCCAATCACAGCTCAGTGTGTCTGGGAGGGCGGGAGGAAACCGAACGCTGCGGGTTAGCGACTTCCGGCCGTCCGCGCGGAAACCATCGTGCCCGGGAGCGCTTGGTGTGGTGGCACTTGCCTGCGGAGGGGCCCAGGCGACACCTCTCTGATGCTGCAGATCCTCGCCCAGGAGTGGCCTCTGGCCAAGGCTGCGTTGTCTGCTTTCCCTGAGGCCACACCTTCAGTCTTGTGGGTTAGGATGACTTGAAGCAGCAGGGGAAAGTCCGGCTGCACTCCTGGAAGAAGCTCGGACCACAAGCCTCGAGTCTCAGTTCCTTGAAATGTCCAGGGCCAAGGCTAGCCTGATACCTAGGCAGAGTGAGACTGACTGGGGTTTAAGGCTCAGGCTGGACCCTGCTGCACACAGACTCCCTTCTTTGAAACTGCTTTTCACCCTGTGTTACCTGCACCCACGTCACCCACTGGAGGGGTGTGTGTGTGGAGGGGGGTTGCTGTGTGAAGGACCTGGCCAATGGGACGAAAGGGGAAGATGGCTAGGCCAAAATAGGCACTGACACTGGGTCCTGGAGACGCTGTCCTGAAGCCTGCAGTATGCTGAACCTGCGCTTTCAGCATCTGTCCCCTTTTTTTTTTTTTTTTTTTTGAGACGGAGTTTCGCTCTTGTTACCCAGGCTGGAGTGCAATGGCGCGATCTCGGCCCACCGCAACCTCCGCCTCCTGGGTTCAGGCAATTCTGCCTCAGCCTCCTAAGTAGCTGGGATTACAGGCACGCACCACCACGCCCAGCTAGTTTTTTGTTTTGTTTTGTTTTTGTTTTTGTTTTTGTTTTTTTGAGACGGAGTTTCGCTCTTGTTGCCCAGGCTGGAGGGCAATGGCACGATCTTGGCTCACCGCAACCTCCGCCTCCTGGGTTCAGGCAATTCTCCTGCCTCAGCCTCCTGAGTAGCTGGGATTACAGGCACACGCCACCATGCCCAGCTAATTTTTAGTATTTTTAGTAGAGACAGGGTTTCACCATGTAGACCAGGATGGTCTCTATCTCTTGACCTCGTGATC